ATATATATATATATATATATATATATATATATAAATTATTTGAATCTGTCGTGTAATTACTGCGTATATTAGAAGAAAACCTCAAAAAGCTTAAAAAATATGGAAATCTCACTTTGTTTCCCATGCCGCAACTTCTAGTTCTGTTCTGTGCCAGGTTCTAACACCCTATGCAAAAGATATTTTTCAAATAAAATCTTCCAAAAATTGAGAAAAAAAAAATGCATTTTTAAGTCTGTATTTTTAATGTTTTGCCTTTACTCCAGTAATTTATATTTTAAATATTTTTTAATTGTAAACAGTGGAATAATTTTTAAAGTTTATTTTGGAAACTCTACAAAAAGTGTTATAATTGCGAGTGAGTGAACAGAACTGCAATAGCCAAGGGATTTTTAGTTGCACTGTTATAAGCATGGCTGTGTCACAGAAAACTGCGTTTTTTTTTTTGTTTTTTTTTTTCGTATTTTAATGCTATTTTGACCTTCCTGTCAGAAACTTTTCGAGGTAAACGTCTTTGGCTTCCCAATTTGATTTTAAGGCATAAAAGTTAGCAGATTTTGAAGATGTTTGGAATAGGTGTTTTGGAAAATGTGTGCGATTTGGCTTCAAATGATTCATTATTTACATTTGTTAATGTAGTCGTGGTTAGGAAACCTCTGTTTAGAATGAAATCAGTAATTGTCTTTAAATGAATTAGTGATTATACCTTAAACTATGGATTATCTTTTCTGTCTTTGCAGCAAAAATTGTTTAGGGTAGAATTCGTCTTATCAGTATTTTCGGTGCTGGGTTGTTGGTTGGCACGGCACTCTCTGTTATTATTCCAGAAGGCGTTGAAGTTTTATATAGCGTCAAATTAGGTAAGATTGCTTGAATTATTAAGTATTCTGTTCAAGTCTTTGCTTCTTGAAGCTTTTTATTCATTTATTTATTTTTAGTATAAATGGACCTCTGTTCTAGACGTCTGGACAGGGGAGAGATTTTGTTGTTTGTAAAATATAGAAACATTTATTATTTTACGTGTTTTGATGACAAAATGCTCCGCTAAGATGTTTTATGAAGTTAAACTAGTTGATCTCAAAGTTGAAAGTAAAGGTCACATAGTGAACACCGCTTACTTTTTATCGCTCTGTTTTTTGACTTTTATTTTAAATAATTTTCACTGCCTTATTAATCTTTTTAATAATGTTTTTTTCTTTAGCTAAGGAGGGCTATTTTTTTCTCAACTTTGTAGATTTTGAAAAAGAAGACAAACAGTTGCTATCAGTGAGCGGTTGCAATAGTAATATTTTCTGATTTAATAGGGCTCTGATATTTTTATCACACTAATTCCATGTTATATGCCAGCCTATAAAATTTAAAAGCTGGTTTTTAATGGGTGAAAATAATGTGTGGAAATTTTCTGCTTAATTTTCAAACTGGTCTTCCTCAACATTTTGATCCAAATGGTCTTTTTTTCTACTCTCTCACTGTCAGTATTTTTCAATGCTAGGTTTATCGTAGTAGTCATTTGAGGTTTGTAGAGCCGAGTTTTGCTGACTCTCATCATAACGACGCAGGAAGAATATTAGAAAAAAATGACGGGAGAGTGGACAATCCTCCTCGTATCATTCCTTACGACGCTCGCTTGAACGAAGGGTAGATTCACCGCTTCAAAGATTTCTGCTGCTACCGTACTTTCCAGTGATACTTCCCAGACATGGAAATTTTTTTAGGTTGAAGAAAGAAAATCTGCAGAATGAGGGAGAGAAGCCTGCGTTAAAAAAACAATCTCGTTTATTAAAAGAACTTGAGCCTTCTGTCATTAAATCGGAATGTATGCTTCGTTGTTTTGAGGAAATATATATTAAGATGGGGAAGGGGGGAAATGTTTCACCGTTTAATTTGTTACGGCTGTAAATCCTATTCTTGAAAGTTCAAGTTCTTTTCAAATGCCTCTTTCCGACTTGTTCTAAAATATTTGTTGCGTAAACGTCACTTCACTAATATTATTACTTTAATTTATCGCGTAGTGTACTATTTTTTGTTCTTCTGACAAACGGCGGGGTTTGGTACTCGATTAAGCTAAATTTGATCCTTTCAGACAGAGTACAAAATGAAAATGTGGAATCCGCTGAACATCATGATGACGATGATAGTTCTTGGCCTCACAAATCAATTGGGATTTCCTTGGTAGCAGGTTTTTTAATGATGTTGCTAATCGACCAAGCATCGCGGGCAGCTACTGGTATAGGTAAACATACCTTTATTTAAGCCTTGTACGTAACTCACTATAACCCACTAAAAAACCGATTTTATGAAATGATTGATGCAAAAGTGGTATGAAAATTGAAGTTTTCATCGTTATTTGGTGAATAATTCTTTCAGAAACTGAAGGTTCTGTTGCCTAATTTTGCTGCAAAGAATACATAGCTGTTTTTTTGGTTTATTCTTTTGCTATAACGAGTGGAGCATTTGTATGCAAAATATTGTGTTTGCTTCTACTCAAACTGGAACCTTATATAAAAGCTGCAGTGTGAAAGCGTTTGATTCTAGATGAAAAAACTTCTTTTTGAATCACTACAGATAGCCTTTCTAATTTAATACAATGGCAACTTAAATGATATATATATATGCAGAGGAGAAGTTTCAAAAACTTCTCTGTCTACTCCTTCTGACTGCCAAGTCGAAAACGTGAATTTCACGCCGTGAATGCTGAAACAGAATTGCAAAGGGAGGTCTTAACAAGTATCGACTGATGAAACGCCGAACAAAATAAACAGTTTTAGCAACGCTGTGCCTTCTGGTTACTATGTTTTACTGTGCCTCAATTGTTGTTGGTAACTTTATGAGATAAGCATGGGTTGGAAAAGTTAATTAAACTTTTGGTTGGTGAACAGAGAAAATAAGATCTTGCTTATAGTTAATTTTTTATGATAACTCGCTTGTGTGTCTTTACTGAACAAAATAGCTTCTGATTCTGATGCTAATGAAAAGGAATTATGTGTGCATCTTTTTATTTCATGAAATCGAGTTTTTCGTCCATTCTTTTATAATGTTTTGTTGTTTGTATCTCATTTGTTCAGGTGGTGAAAGGTCACGCTTCAGCTTGACAGCAACTATTGGACTGGTTGTTCACGCTGCAGGTTAAAATTCTTGATTTATTATTTTCATAGGAACAGCTTAGTTTTAGGGTTGTTATTGATACATGTTGGTCCGTGTTAATGTAATTAGTTACTGTTCTGTTTGGCGCATTTAGCGGACGGGGTTGCCTTAGGAAGTGCGTCGGCGACCAAACGGACAGATGTGCAATTCATAGTTTTCCTTGCGATTATGCTCCACAAGGTTTGAACAAGTACATAAGCTAATGGATGTCTTAATGTTTTTTCAAAAAAGTTTTGCTGTCATACTCGGTTTTACGGTTGCTAAATCTTGAATTCTTACATGGTTTACACATTCAGGCGCCAGCTGCATTTGGCCTGGTTAGCTTCCTTTTAGTAGAAGGTTTGGAAAGAGCACGTGTAAAGCGACATCTTTTGGCATTCTCACTGTCGGCTCCCATTACTGCTCTGTTAACTTTCTATATTTTAGTGGCGGTACATTCATTTTCTCTGTTATTAATAAACTTTCTATCTCGGAGCTTTGGATTTAACCGGGGTTTATCTCATTTGGGTAAAGTAGTAGTTCATATGGTTTCTATATTGTTTCGTGCATAGCTTTCCTTTTTTAGGCCGGTAGTGATTCTTCATTTTCGGCGCATTCTTTTACTGGTGTCCTTATGCTCTTCTCTGCGGGAACTTTTCTTTATGTGGCTACTGTACACGTGATTCCCGAACTGGTAAGTTCCCTCTCTCGTTGATGCTCCATTGGAAATTACTTGTTCTTGTGTTAAATTTGGAATTGAATATTTTCTTTTATTGAAATGGTTTTCTGATTAAAAAAATAAAACTCATTTTTTCCCGTGTAACTTTTATTTGAAGACTAAAGTAGCGAGTGATTATCAGCTTGTAAATGCGATAGGAGCACAAGGGGCTCATAGTCACAGCGGTGGAGCGCCATCTTTTACTATTCGGGAATTAGTCGCAATGATTGTCGGGGCATTATTCCCAGCGCTTATTGCCTCTGGGCACTCACATTCTCACTGAAGCTGGTTAATAATTTGTATTTTGCAAACTGTGATCTCTTGTTGTTTCTCAGCAATATCTGTTAGCCTTCTGATTTGCAGAAAACGGGTTTAATCTGTGACATAGTTTATAGGCTTTCTACTAACGTGGATGGTGAGCATAGATTTTTACGTATTAGAGGTCTTTTGCCAAGGAAATTTGTAGTTTACTTACTGATGCAGTGTAGTAACACCATTACACTTCCCCTCCTACTCAACACTTGTTGTCGAGATATTACTTCCGTATAACACCTTATCTCTTTCTTTCTTTCTTCCTGCCATTCCCGCAACATACGAAGTTTACTGAACTAATGGTCTTCATTATTTATTTTCCCTTTTCGCTATCCAGTTTTTGCTGCAATTCTGAATAATTGTTGCCTGTCTCTTCTAAAACGCAATTTGGCTTCAAGTTTTCTGCAGAGGCTTATTGGCCCACTGTGGGGAGGTCGGGAGCAAAGAACTCGCAATCTCTTAATACTTAAGAATTTTAAACATAACTCCTGTAATAGCCGGAGAGCATAGAACAGTCACAGATCTTATTAACACTACACGGGACCAGACTTTGAAACTCAACTTCCCTTTGGTTTTGCTGAATTTTGTTGCTGTGATTTACTGTGTACGTTTCTTAATTAATAAGCTAAGAAGCTTTCCACTGTTTCCAGTCAACACAGAATAAAAGGTGCAATTGACTCTGTGTGCCACATAAAATGTTTTAAAGGTGCTAAATCAACTCTAACTTACTGGTAAACTTTTGATATGCAGAACGCTGTGTAACGCCCGTTACAAGAGTTGCCAGAGCAGATCTAACGTAGTTTAGGACAAACCCAGCAACTCACACATGAAAAAAAAATACCATTTGGAGGAACCAAAGAAATAAAAGAGGGCCTTCTGGTCACTTTATGCGTTTTTAAGAAGGTTAATGAATAACTCCAAAGCAGAGCAGAGTAATGAGTCAATAAACAAAGAAACTGGCCTAAGTTCACTGTTCTGGTAGCCCCATGGCTATCAAAGCAATGTCACCTAGCAGGGAGGGTACTTGGCGGTAGTTAAGGGAGCTGATATGTCTTTAAACGGGTGATCGCATTTAAAACTTTTTGCGGAGGTTTTGAACACTACTCGATCGTTATTAATCCCAGGTTTCAATTTGTAACCTTCCTGCTCTTTCTAGTGAAGCGATCATCTCATCTCCATTCCCTTCGTTATCCGTCATAATTTTTTTCAGCGTGCGAATTACTGACTTCGGCATATCACCACTTCTCCCAGCAATGTAGATAGAGCCTGAGTTCAGTCACATTGGTTAAAAAAAATAAAACATTCCTTTATATGGCCGAATTTGGAATTCCACTGTGTGTTAACACAACCTCTCAAATTACAAGTCACAACCAGAAAAATTTTCATTCTGGTATTATTACGTGAACACTTTGCTTACATGAAAAACTGTCGGGAGAAACTTGGACTTTCCTCAAAGATTCAAAAAAAAGCAGCCTAGCCAAATTCATTTTTTACTAGAAATAAATATGGCCCAAAAAACATGTCCAAGAGATACCTTTATTTTTTGTTATCAGCTCCCATATTATCCCAGGATTTTGCATTATCTTGTCCTGTACATACTCCTAAAGAACCAATATTACTGCCAGTTAAAAGCAATGAGGAGAAGTAAACTTACTTTAGTACTATTCTCGTCTCTACTGAATCCAGTTATGACGCAAACATTCTTGAGATGTGGCCACTCTTCCTTGAAATAAAAATCTTTACTGCTTCCTCGGCAACCAAAAAATAATAAATCTTTTGCACTACTAGTGTCATGATTTCTGAAAACAAAAATGATTTTAATCCACATTGTTTTAGCTTAGTATGAAAAACTATTACAAAAATAAACCTCACATATTCCTAAAATTCAAAACTGATCGGAAGGCAGCAACGCCAGTCCCCGGACCAATTAAGACTAAACTGTTGTCTTCGCCTGGCCAACTAAAACAAAGCAAAAAATGACCCATGATGGTAACTCGGAAGAAATGTAAATACTTGTAGTTTCCGCCTTGGTAAGGAAGGATATAAGAATTAATAAACCATTGCTCAAATCCCATGTTTTTTTTTTGCCAACCAGTACCGAAATACATCCTATGGTACAAATAAGGTGGCCCATTTTCTGAAAAAACTAATGAACTAATTTTTAGGATTTTTCCAAACTTTTTTTCGCATCATTTCGTCACAATAAACTCATGATAAAAACGATCCTAGAAGTGAAGAGTGGTCTTTATATGAACCCAAGCTTGTCTGAATCTAATAAAATTAGTAACCAAATAATGAGACCGGCAACTCTTGAAAAGATTACTGCTCTTAACTTCTTCCGTTCTAAATTTAAGCTAACTGCATTACCAAGCATAAACTAGTCTAGCCATAAACTTCAAAGTTACTTCATGAGCTGAAATACAACCATTTGTAACGATTATATGACGATGCTAAAAAAAAAGTAAAGAGCTTTCCATCAACTTTTGGCTGATGTAGAAATCCCTCCAGCTCCTTCCTGCAACTTTGCTTCATAATTAAGCACACAACAATCATACGCCCGGAACATCTATACCTGTGCCAAATCGTCACAAACACACCCTTTTACTGATACCCCAGGTCTTTTTCAAATGCTTCCAAGTAAAAAAAGACTTCTTTTGGATCTCCGAAAATAAACAGATCACTCCACCAAACGGTTTGCAAAGGAAATGGCACTCTTCCAAAGCTGCAAAAAACTGCACCTTTTTGCCAGACATGAAATCTTTTTATCTACTGTAATTTACTTTGCTTCCCATAAAGTCAAACGTTTGAAGTTTTGAAAAACATGCCTCCAAATCCTCTTTGAACTTCAATTTCCTTTTATAATTTGAAGAAATAATGCAAATTATTTAGTGTGAAAAAATAAAAAGATAGTAAGCCCTTGAAGTTTTTTAAAAAAACATTTTGTACAGAACTCTTTCTTCTTCACAATATATTTAATAATTCCGTGGCACGGTAATGATTTTTTATGAAAAAAAACAGAGATAAACTGGTGAAAATTAGGCTGGACCAAAAAATCTCCGATTCAGTAATTTTCAAAAGTAGGTTTGCACACCCCGGCCAAATTTAATGCAACGTAGTTAGTCCTGAAATTTCAAGCCAAAATGCAAACGTGACTGTGCGACTCGCAAAACAGTACCTATCAATACAATATTAACAACTCCATCTCAATCCTTTCTCCGCAGCTCACACTTCCATTGGT